TTTTCTGGAGAAATTGAGTTAACTGAAAACCAGTGTCAGAGTGTGTTAAATGCTAAATGTATATATATATATATGTGAGTGTGTGTTTTATATGATAATATATATAGATATGTGTGTCAAAATCACTGAGTGTGTTTTCCGACATGCTGGTGAACCATCAGCATACACGGGGCTTAGCCAACGACGAGACGAATTGTGATAATCCTGTGACTGGAAGGAAGCTCAGCACAAAGGACCCCTTTTGTGAGAACATCTTATCTAGATTTAGTTACTATCTGCCGAATTCGCGGCTCCAATTTAAAAGGGGCTGGCTTCAGCTAGCTCTGCTAGGAAAAGAGGGCGGTCACCACGCCACTTTCACACTATTTCACACTCATTCCATTCACTGCATTGAACAAATCCCGGGCGAGCAATGAGAAGCGTGACCTACTGACTCAACTCTCAAAGCAAGACACGTCCTGAAATCATGAACGGAAGTGGAACCGCGGCCCCTGAAAGTCCGAGTGTGCTGAAGGTTCACCCTGCGGGTGCTTCTCTTCCCTCGACCCATGGATTCAGGACCGGTCCGGTCGTGTGGCTTCGCCTGCGCGCTGCTGACACCGTAGCGCTGTGCCAGGGCCATCAAGCGCGGGTCGGTGAGGGAGATGCTGGGCACCTGGCAGCTCAGCAAATCACACCCACACCGCGTGGTGAACCCACGGTTCACCACGAGACGTGTATGAAAAAAAGACCAGACTCGTTTGAAACGACTTCCGGGGTAAGATGTTTTCATGTCCCAATTTGGAACATACCATCCATTAAATCCTCATGAAATCCCTTGAAACCCGCCCAGGGCGCGGAAACCGCCCGGGCTCCACCTGCTGGTAGGAGGCCGTGGGCCCGGCCAAGGACGCCCAAGCCTGGACGAATCAGCGACACCGGAGGGGTGAGGAACAAAGAATCCGCCTCATTCGTCCTCACCGCTGGGATTCCAACAGCCAGGGCCGTTTTCCAACAGCAATTGGTCAGACAAACCCTTGTTTTACTAAGATTGTGCCACGAAAACCCGGTAAACATCCTAAAACCACGGGATTCCTGATGTAGTGGTGATCTTGGGATCCACTGTGTAGGGCTTGCCACCCCAAGAGCCTTCTGTTCTTTTTCGCCTGCCCATCTCCCAGGAGGATGGGTGCCGATGGAAGCCGCGTGCTTTCAGTCTTCGGGCACACCAGACTCATCACGACTCACCAGACTCATCACGACTCCCAACGCCACATCCGTGTGCGTGGGAAGGCCCCCAAGCATGGCCTTTAATTGTTTAGAGACCCCGACCTCAGTAGAACACTATACCACAAAGACCTACATCTCGCTCGACCCGCAAACATGCAAATAACCACTGCAAATGCTCCTGTTCGGGTCCTGTGCCTCAAGTCTGACGCCGGACTTCAAGAGAGTCTCATTGTGATAGGCCAAATGAAATTGAACCTAACAGGGCTTCGACCAGGGTCCCTGAGCCGGGAATGAGCTCAACTCTTTTAATCAGCAAGGAGGATCAATGTTACATGAAATGGGTGGCATCATGTGGCATCCTTTCATCCTGTTTTGCTCAACTTCGAGACCGTCCAAGATGCAAAAACCCTTTTATGATCACCAAACGACTCTCATGCCACCTCAGACCCGCTGGTGGGCGTTTGGCGCCCGCCTGGTTCACAGCAGGAACCTCTTTGAACTCCTGAATCACCTCCTCAACCTGCTCGGCATTGTAGTTGCTCACGCCGATCCTCGATTAGAACAAAACCCCCGCGAAGTCTCCGAACAGCCAGCACTGATTCAGCCTGCGTAATTCCTTCACTGAACAAGCGTGGCTGAACCCTTGCGAGCGTGACGGAACTGTTCCGAGTGCTGTTAGGTGATGGTCCAGACATTGTCAAGTTGTGGCCCAAATCACCGCCCGGCCCACCAAATGACTCAAATGACCTTTTACCTTTATCCAATCCCTCCCTGTCTCTGCGCTCTTCACTGCGCTCAGCGTCGCCCGGATCTTCCCAGCGCTGCGCAGCTCCTGCAGCCCGCGCCAGGTGTCGAGGCGCTCAGCGTGCTGCGCGGCGCCACATTTGTTGGGGAAGTCCTTGAGGTCCTCGGAAGCGGCCGGAAGCGTAAAAAAGCAGTGGTTTCAGGACTAGGTGATGGCACAAGCGCCCAGGCCCCGGTGGTAAAGATGGATCCCTATCTAAAAAACACCAGCGGCCCTCAAACCCAAGAAAATAAAGGTGTTCACAAGTATGTATGCATATATGAAATACCCGAGATTCTAGCTATACAACCTGGCCGCGAGAGGAAGTGGCATCTTGCCAAGTTGAAGCTATTGGGGCTGGGAAGCCGACTTGGCCGCATCAACCTTCACCTCCCATCCGACGAACCCCCCTCCACCCAGCATGGCGCATCCACCCGACGAATGCAAGGAACTGCACATGGGTAGTGGATGAGGACCAAATCCACATAGTCCATCCCGAGCCTCCAGTGGGCCATCCCAGGACTCCGATTTCTACTCGTTCGCACTCCGAGTTTCAGCGAATCGCTGAATGTGTTCCATCTCGTTTTTGGAGGAAAGGCATGGAAAGGCTGCCTTCCCAGATTCACGGGTCAAAACCAGGTGGTGGAATCCATTCTCTTCCGGCGGTTGATCTGCCTTCCAGGAATTGATCATAACAATGGCCGTGCCAATGGCTCAAACACATGGAAACAACCGATTTCCCCTCTCGGATTCCTCGGGTTCAAAACACCACAGCTTCTCAGCTTGTGCGATTCCATAATTATGGTTCATACATACATACATACATACATGCATACATCCTTGCATTGCATTGCATTGCATTGCATTCCATTACATTGCATTACATTACATTACATTACATACATACACATATGGATTGAGAGTTGAATCCGCTCTGTAGATGGTACAGTCCCCAAGAGATTGTTTATGTGGACCCCCGTCTTGGGGGTTGTGCCATCTACTCTGAAACCACTGTACTGCATCTGCGTTGGGTTTCTCCGTGCCTCCGTAACACGCAAATGAAGTGCGCAGCTTTGCCGGCAAGGTGCTTTGGCAAGGTCTCAGTGAGGATCATCTGGTGCGTGGCATTCCTGCCGATAGGGCCAGGGATCTTAGTGGTCAAAAAGATCTCCTGGGAGCAAGGCCGATGACAAAGAATCAAGCATGTACTCAACGGAGCAAGCATGCGGCGACTATACATTGATGATGGATCTAAAAAGGGATTCCTTTTTTTCTGACCCACAACCCTTTTTTTCTGACCCACATCCTTTTTTTCTGACCCACAACCCCTCTTTTCTGACCCACAACCCTTCTTTTCTGACCCACAA